GCTATTTACTTTCCTTTACGGGAAGAGGTAGTGGGCCCTTTTCCTCTCCTCGAAGGTATAACTCTTCGGACTATAGCTTCCGCTTCTAATTCAGAAATCTTTTTCTTCGCAACGAGCATGTTGGTGGCTAATATCCATCGGCAGCAAAGAAAAGTTGTATAAAGTTCAGGCTCAGCAACCTGTAAGCTAAACTGAGCTTCAGTACAGCCGACAACGTTCCAAAACCAAGCTCACACTCCATCGATAAGACCTCCACAGGTCGTTAACCATTTGTTGGGATTCCCGACATATAGTTGGTCGTAGCCGAATTGTCGCGCAAATCGGTAAGGAAAGTACGGCTCGATTCTGCAGATGTTTCTTGATCGGAAAACATTGTAGCCTGGTCGAATGTTCATAAGCCAATGGAAGCTACCCCTATTGAGAGAAGTCCTGTTAACTCCAGACATTTCCTCATCAATGAGCATGTCACTATGTGCACTAGGAAATCGGGGAAAACATGTATAAAATTCCCAACACTTAGCGTTCTTGAACTGCCTCACTATGTCAGACCATTGTCGGGAGGCTTAACCATTTACATCCCTCTAAAAGCTGTAGCAGAGGAATTTCTGAATCAGAACGGTCTGGAGCTGACATCATGTCGGGTCGGTGAAGGACCAGTCACGTCATTAAATACGTGTATGGTAGTTCGACCCGTGACATAAGAATCTTGCTCGAAGGTTGGGCATCTACCTCTGTGAAGGTTCTGGCTAAGTTACGTAGGCCACTATGAATGTCAGCGATCATGGCTGAAAGCAAAGATAATCTGCCTCCGACGACTAGTTGGACGGTAGGAAAAAGAACCTCGAGAGGAAGGGCATCTGAAGATTGATGAGGTACCACACACCTCTTTAACCAAATAGCAAAATAGCCGGCGAGAAGAGTATCAGGCTTCATCCTTTTCGTGGCCTGCCACAAGAAAGTTCTGAATTTCGTACCACTTGAAAAACCACATTCGGATGATCCGGTGGTGTAGGATTGAGCATCGATCTTCGGCGAATTGCTTCAGACTGACTTGAGCCGCCTTCTTGCTTTTCACCTCAATTCGGGCCATTGCTGTCTGATAATGACAGGTTAGTTCCCAAAGAATATCATAAGCAACAGAACCAGCCTTCTTCATCCTCATAAGCTGATGATTGGCGGGAAAATATTCTTGGTACGGAGTGTTCCCTATCGGTAATCCTGAAACCTTCATCATCTCATGAAGCGGAAGCCCTAATTCCCCGTACTTGGTGAGGAATATATTCGTATCCAGGTTATAAGACTCGAATAGAGCAAGAAAATATCCACGCTTATCGGGAGACCATACATACTAGCTCGAATTGGGATATCTAATATGATGTTAGCTAACTCTTGACCCCAACGGCTAAGCACATAATTGGTCATCCTAGACCACCATTTGTCTGTAAGAGAATGAACCCAACCGAAACATCTGAACTTCTTGAGGAGAAATTCTCTGCCGATGCGAGCAAGTAGATTCTTTACTGTGTTGGCCCTTATCATCAATTCGTCGTGGGGTCCACTATCTGGTCCAAGTACCCCTGGGTGAAGACCACGGATAGTATGACGACCGCTAGACCCAGGAGCACTGATATCCCTACCAATGAACCCACAATAGATGCGTTCATGGTCATCTGTCAAATGCCAGGACATCTTCCTCGAAATGGTTAAATTCCGTAGTTGCAAGATCGAATAGTGCCGAGGAAACGGAGGAAGAAACAGAAGGTCCCCATCATACTCATTCATCCAAGCCTCAGGACCATAGCAAAGGGTGTCTGGGTCTTCAACTGAGTCCCCAAATAAGTAATCCAGTAGAATCTCGGATAGATGTTAAAGGAGAGTCAGTTAACAATTGGCGTAATGTGTGACGACTCCCCTCGTAAATCAGCTCAGGGATGCTGTCGTCACAACCCTCAATAAACTGACAGGCCTCTCTGACCAGAAAATCACCATTGAAAGAAGCGTGAAGAATACCACTCTGACCCGGATCTTCTCTTTCAGAAAAAGTGACAGAAGGAAAATGCACTGCAAACAAAGATAGGACGAAGTTGAATAAAAGAGGCTAAAAGAGCAAGATTCATTGCTCTAAGTAGCCGCGGCAGGGTTCACTGTTGCGCGTTACCGCGG